GTCTTCCTGGCGGTCTTGTCCAGGTTTACCTCTCAGGGAAGTTTCCACACAGCCCTGGGGTATTTCTGGTGTTTCCTAGCAGGGCCCAGCATCCTTACCTGCCAGGAAGAAGTAATGTGGTTTTGGGTCCAATTACTCAGTCAGATCTAACCCTAAACATTCCTGTGCTTTATCTAGAAACTTGATCACACAACTGTGGGCTGGTTAGGGTGTAGTGATTCCAAGCCAGCAGAAGTTGGGTAAAGTATCCGAACAGAAAAAAAGTTCTTATCTGTAGGCTGGAATGGCTGCTTATCTGAACTCTGGGAATGTACATGAAGGAATTGGTTATTCAAGCTTCCCTGTAAAGTGAAACTCAGCAGTGGAGATCCAGGTAATTCTGAGTCCAATTGAACCATAGTCATTTTTGGAAGTGGAAAGAGACTGACAGTTGTTTTATTCTTTTTTTTTTTAATTTTTTTTTAAAGATGGGGCTTCACCATGATGGCCAGGCTGGTCTTGAACTCCTGACCTCAGCTGATCCACCCACCTCGGCCTCCCAAAGTGCTAGGATTACAGGCTTGAGCCACTGCACCCAGCTGTTTTAGTCCTTTAATGTTAACATATTAAATTATAATAGCTTAATATTAAAGTTTTTTGCAGGGGGAGGATGGAGTCTTGCTCTGTTGCCCATGATCTCAGCTCACTGCAACCTCCATCTCCCAGGTTTAAGCTGTTCTATCACCTCAGCCTCCCGAGTAGTTGGAATTACAGGTGCATGCCACCATGCCCGGCTGATTTTTTTTTTTTTTTTTTGAGATGGAGTTTCGTTCTTGTTACCCAGGCTGGAGTGCAATGGCATGATCATGGCTCACCACAACCTCTGCCTCCTGGGTTCAAGCAATTCTCCTGCCTCAGCCTCCCAAGTAGCTGGGACTACAGGTACGCACCACCATGCCCAGCTAATTTTTGTATTTTTAGTAGAGACAGGGTTTCACCTTGTTGACCAGGATGGTCTCGATCTCTTGACCTTGTGATCCACCCACCTCGGCCTCCCAGAGTGCTGGGATTATAGGCGTGAGCCACCACGCCCGGCCTTTTTTGGTATTTTTAATAGAGACAGGTTTTGCCATGTTGGCCAGGCTGGTCTCAAACTCCTGGCTTCCAGTGATCCGCCTGCCTCAGCCTTCCAAAATGCTGGGATTACAGATGTGAGCTACCCCACCTGGCCCACATTAAAGATATTTTAATTTTGTTTGTTTGTTTGTTTGTTTTGAGATGGAGTCTTGCTCTGTTGCCCAAGCTGGAGTGCAGTGGTATTATTTCAGGTCACTGCAACCTCTGCCTTCCGGGTTCAAGTGATTCTCCTGCCTCAGCCTCCAGAGTAGCTGGGATTATAGGTGCACATCACTACACCCGGCTAATTTTTGTATTTTTTTTTTTTTTTTGAGACGGAGTTTCGCTCTTGTTACCCAGGCTGGAGTACAATGGCACGATCTTAGCTCACCATAACCTCTGCCTCTTGGGTTCAGGCAATTCTCCTGCCTCAGCCTCCTGAGTAGCTGGGATTACAGGCATGCGCCACCGTGCCCAGCTAATTTTTTGTAATTTTTAGTAGAGACAGGGTTTCACCATGTTGACCAGGATGGTCTCGATCTGTTGACCTCGTGAGCCACCGCGCCTGGCCAATTTTTGTATTTTTAGTAGAGACGGGATTTCACCATGTTGGCCAGGCTGGTCTCGATCTCCTGACCTCAGGTGATCCACCTGCCTCGGCCTCCCAAGTTCTGGGATTACAGGTGTGAGCTACTGTGCATGGCCAAAGATATTTTCATCTCAAATCTGAAAAAAAGACAAAATCGGGGATCGTTTCCTGCTTTAAATTATATTGACTTTAAAATCCATTCCAGGTGTCGTGGCTCACACCTGTAATCCCAGCACTTTGGGTGGCTGAGGTGGGTGGATCACGTGTAGTCAGGAGTTGGAGACAAGCCTGGCCAACATGGTGAAACCCCATCTCTACTAAAAATACAAAATGTAGCCAGGTATGGTGGCAGGCACCTGTAATACCAGCTACTCGGGAGGCTGAGGCAGGAGAATCACTGGAACCTGGGAGATGGAGGCTGTAGTGAGCTGAGATTGTACCACTGCACACCAGCCTGGGCGACAGAGCAAGACTCTGCTTCAAAAAATATATATATCTATTTCAACTCAGATTTGAATATTTGTGCAATTTGAATTTAGGGGAAAGTGTCCTTTCGAGAAAGGGAAAATAAAATTAGGTTGTGGGACTGTGTGAGGGACAGGTGGTGGTGATCTGCTGGGAAGTGAGAATGAGAAGTCTTTTAGTTTTATTATTTTAAATTTTTTATGATTATTCTTTGTAGAGACAGAGTCTCACTCTGTCATCCAGGCTGGAGTGCAGTGGTGCAGTCATACCTCACCGCAGTCTCAAACTCCCGGCCTCAAGCAATCCTCTGGCCTCAGCCTCCCAAAGTGCTGGGATTATAGGCTTGAGCTACCATGCCTGGCCAAGAATGAGAAATCTTTGTGGAAGGAGAATACTGGGGTCCCTGAGAAGGTTTCAGCTATAGATAACTCATATCTCCCTTCTTGGGGTCTGGGCCATGGTTGTGGCTTGGGCAGAGAGGTTGGGGAGACCAGGTGTGTGCAGGCCTGAGATGTGACTCAGCGAGAGAGGAAGGGCAGTCTCTTGACTTGAAGCCAGATCACTCCCAGGGAGTTGCATCAGTGGGCGGGGCCTAGAGATAAGCGTCAAAGAGGAATGTAGTTCTAACTCAGGTCTTAGGGCCTCTACCTGTCTGGCCTGGGAAGAACACCATTAAGTTAAAATGAAGCTTTCATTCTGATCTTAAACTTTATAGCATGAAACATTGCAATCCAAATACCCCAGGGCGTAATGGTCAGAGAACACAGGCAGTTTGCTGAAAAACATTTAAGTGATCAAGATTATCCAGAAAAAACTTTACCTTCACTGTTACAATAAACAAACACATTAGAAGAATGAGATACCTGTTTTTGCTTGCCAATTTGGCAAAGATTAAAAATTGTAATTTTCAACTATACAGATAAAAAGATAACCCAGTGTAAAACTGGGCAAAGGAGGGAGGGCCAGGTGTGGTGGCTCACACCCGTAATCCTAGCACTTTGGGAGGCTGAGGTGGGCGGATCACTTGAGTTTAGGAGTTCAAGACCAGCCTAGCTACCATGGTAAAACCCCATCTCATAAGACTGGGCGCAGTGGCTCACGCCTGTAATCCCAGCACTTTGGGAGGCCGAGGCGGGTGGATCATGAGGTCAAGAGATCGAGACCATCCTGGTCAACATGGTGAAACCCCATCTCTACTAAAAATACAAAAAATTAGCTGGGCATAGTGGCGCGTGCCTGTAATCCCAGCTACTCAGGAGGCTGAGGCAGGAGAATTGCCTGAACCCAGGAGGCGGAGGTTGCAGTGAGCCGAGGTCATGCCATTGCACTCCAGCCTGGGTAACAAGAGTGAAACAACATCTCAAAAAAAAAAAAAAAAAAAAAATCTCTACCAAAAAATATAAAAATTAGCTGGGTGTGGTGGCATGCACCTGTATTCCCAGCTACTCAGGAGGCTGAGGCAGGAGAATCACTTGAACCCAGGAGGCGGAGGTTGCAGTGAGCTGAGATCGCACCACTGCAGTCCAGTCTGGGCGACAGACTGAAATCGTGTCTCAAAAAAAAAAACTGGGTAAAGGATCCAAATTGATATTTCTTCTAAGAAGACATACAAATGGCCAATAAGTTCATGAATTAAAAGATATTCAACGTCATTAACTGTCAGGGAGACACAGTTCAGAACCACAGTGAGCGATAGCACACACACAATGTAGTATTAATAAAAAGGATAGACCAGCACATGTATTGGCGAGATGTAGATAAGTTGGCACTCTCGTGCTGTTAGTGGGATTGTAAAATTGTATAACCACTTTGGAAGAGTCCGATAGCTCCTCAAATGGTTAAATGTAGAATAAATCATATGATCTAGCCTGTGCACGGTGGCTCACCCCTGTAATCCCAGCACTTTGGGAAGCCAAGGGAGGCGGATCACTTGAAGTCAGGAATTTGAGACCAGCCTGGGCAACATGGCAAAACCCAGTGTCTACTAAAAACACAAAAATTACCTGGACATGGTGACATGCACCTGTAGTCCCAGTTAACTGGGAAGCTGAGGCGTGAGAATCACTTGAACCCAGGAGTTGGAGATTGCAGTGAGCCAGGATCATGTCTCTGCACTTCATTCTGGGCAGCAAAAAAAAAGTAGATAGTAACAATGAGGGGAAGTAGTCACAAGGGAGTGTGTGCCTTTCTGTCCTGGAGTATGATTGGGCTGGTCCATGGTAGCCCTAAAGGAGTTTGATCTTATAACTGCCCTAGAGATATGTCTTTAATTAATTATTTACTGGATTAATTTATTTTTGTCACTTTGGTTGCTGAGGCTGGAGTGCTGTGGTAGGATCTCAGTTCACTGCATCCCCTGTCTCCCAGGTTCAAGTGATTCTTGTCCCTCAGCCTCCTGAGTGGCTGGGACTACAGGCTCACGCCACCACACCTGGCTAATTTTTGTATTTTTAGTAGAAACAGAGTTTCACTATGTTGGCCAGGCTGGTCTCTAGCTCCTGACGTCAAGTGATCCACCTGCCTTGGCCTTGGCCTTCCAAAGTGTTAGGATTACAGGCATGAGCCACAGCACCTGGCTAAGTAAGACCCTGTCTCCAAAATAAGTTAATTAAATAAATAACATTAAAATAAATAAATAAAATAGATGAGAAGGAAAGACCAATTCACAGTGGCTGTTTTGGAATTGTGTTATTATGAGTGACTTTTCTTTATACTTTTCAATATTTTCTATGTAGATGCTTTGTTTTCAGAAAAGATTGTTTTTAAAGTTAAACATTTTCCATTATATTAAACACTGTCATCATTTTTAAAGTGGCTGACCTCTGAAGGGGCATCTCTTATTTTTCCTCAGGGCTGTAATCCCCTTGCACAAACTGGCCGGAGTAAATTGCAGAACCAAAGAGCTGCTTTGAATCAGCAGATCCTGAAAGCCGTGCGGATGAGGACAGGAGCGGAAAACCTTCTGAAGTATGTGCCTTCTGGTTTCCCTGCCTCTCCTGAGTCCTAACCATCTGTTCCCTAAACTCCCAGTCCTGGCTCTTGGTTTCAGCTTTGGGTTTCCTCATTTCTGGCATCTGTAGTCATCCCTTTCTTCCCTAGAGCTCAGTAATATTGGAAACAGATACTTTACCCTGCCTGTTTGTGTGTTTGGGGATTGGGTGGGTGGCAGATGGATGTGGGCGGTGTGGCGTTTGGCCTCAATTCAGTCAGCCATCTTGGTGGGAAGCCCAATTATTGTCTTGAAGTTTGTTTTCTGGCTTTCTCTGGGACTTGTCTATTTTCTCCACTGCCTGACACTATGCCTGGTGCAGAATCTGCTTGGTAAATGTTTATTGAATATATAAAGGAAAGAAAAGCAGGAAAGAGAAAGGGGGACATTTCTGTTGCCAGTGTCTACCTCGCTAATGAGGGCTCAGCATAGCCCCATGTTCTAGGTCACTCATTAGTATGCTCTGGTGGTAGAACAGTTACTTATCCAGCGTAGAAGTCAGAGAAGACTTACTTGTGTCTAGACCCGTGTAAACCCTCTACAGGCAACAAAATGCAACAAAAGACAATGTGCCAGCTTCATTCTGTTTACAAACAGTGCAGTTTCTTCTTCCTTAAGAGTTGTGCTGGTGACTCTTTTTAGCCCTGTGCCACCTTTGTGTTTGATTTGAGACAGTCTTGCCCCGTTGCCCAGACTGGAGTGCAGTGGCTTGATCTTGGCTCACTGCAACCTCTGCCTCCTGCGTTCAAGTGATTCTCCTCCCTCAGCTTCTCAAGCATCTGGGACCACAGGTATGCACCACCATGCCTGGCTGATTTTTTCTTTTCAGTAGAGACAGTGTTTCACCATACTGGCCAGGCTGATCTTGAACTCCTGGCCTCAGTGATCCAGCCGCCTCCCAAAGTGCTGGAATTACAGGCATGAGCCCCCACGCCCGGCCCCATGCCACCTTTTATAATGTGTAGTTGAGGTGGGCACCATACTGCTGCCCAGGTGAGTGAAAAAGATGCCTCCTGGGGCCTCAGGAAGAGACATGGAGTGCTTTTGGGGACCCAGAACCTAAACTCCAGCAGAGAAGAGCCTGGCTTACCTGCTTGAAACTGCAAGTCCCTTGGAGCTTCCTGGGACTTTCAGGGATTCCAGGGATGAGGGTGCCAAAATGTCTGCGAGGATATTGATCGTTGGTATTCCCAGTGGGTTAGCTTCATCGGTGAAGGCCTTAGGGAACCTGGAGCCTTCCTGAGGGGTTGTTTGGAAAAACAGGTACACTGAATGTTTGTACAAGAGCCACAAGGCTCTGAGGCTCCCAGCATCTGGTCACAGATTCGAGTGAACGGCGGGATCACCTCCTCCCTCTGGGCTGCTCCTTTGAGCACTCAGTCAAGCAGGAGGAGGGCTTCTGGTCATGACTTTGGGGGCAGTTCATTTCTGAATGGGTCTGTGTTTGCTCCTTAGGCAAGACCTCTGAGATATTAAGAGGTAAAATTAAAAGTTCAGAGCAGCACACCCTGAGTGCACGTATGTGTGTTTAATGGATGTTGTACATATACAGCCAGGCATGGTGGCTCATGCCTATAATTGCAACACATTAGGAAGCTGAGGCGGGTGGATCATTTGAGGCCAGGAGTTCGAGACCAGCCTGGCCAATGTGGTAAAACCCCATCTCTACTAAAAATACAAACATTAGCTGGTATAGTGGGGCACGTGCCTATAATCCCAGCTACTCAGGAGGCTGAAGCATGAGAATTGCTTGAACCTGGGAGGTAGAGATTGCAGTGAGCCGAGATTACACCACTGCACTCCAGCCTGGGTGACAGAACAAGACTGTCTCAAAAGAAGAAAAGAGGATGTTGTACATATGCTTTTGTATACACACAAAAGGATGAAGCTAGACGCTGTTAGCAGATTTGGCTCTTTGGGGCAAGACTGGGGATGGGGGTAGAGGTGACTCACTTTTCATTTTAGTCCTGTCAGTGTTTGAATGTGCTTCTAACTGTATGGGTTATTTATATTTATTATTGTGAAATACTTCGGAGGTCCAGAAGAATTATATAAGCAACCCTCTTGAACCACCACTCCATCAGGAAAAGCAATGCTACTGCTGTGTCAGACTTGGTTTGGTTTAGTTTAGTTTTGTTTTGAGACAAGGTCTCTCTTGTTGCCCAGGCTGGAGTGGAAGGGCATGATGTTGGCTCACTGCAACCTCCATCTCCTGGGTTCGAGTGATTCTTCTGTCTCTGAGTAGCTGGGATTACAGGCATACATCACCATGACCAGCTAATTTTGTATTTTTAGTAGAGATGGGGTTTCTCCATGTTGGTCAGACTGGTCTTGAACTCCTGACCTCAGGTAATCCACTCACCTCGGCCTCCCAAAGTGCTGGGATTACAGGCATGAGCCACCATGCCTGACCTTCATTTATTTATTTTCATTCATTCATTCATTCATTCATTTAGTTTTTGAGATGGAGTCTTGCTCTCTTGCCCAGGCTTGCTCTGTTACCCAGGTCGGAGTGCAGTGGCATGCTGTCTGTTCACTGCAACCTCCGCCTTCCAGGTTCAAGCAATTCTTGGGCCTCAGCCTCCCAAGTAACTGGATTACAGGAGCGCGCCACCACCTCCCTGCCAACCCCGGCTAATTTTTGCATTTTTTGTAGAGATGGGTTTCACCATGTTTGGCCATGCTGGTCTCAAACTCCTCACCTCAGGTGATCCACCTGCCTAAGGTGTTGAGATTACAGGAGTGAACCACCAGGCCAGGCGTGGTGGCTAACGCCTGTAATTCAAGCACTTTGGAGGCCAAGGTGGGCGGATCACCTGAGGTCGGGAGTTCAAGACCAGCCTGACCAACATGCTGAAACCCCGTCTTTAAAAAATAAATAAAAATAAAAAATAAAATAAAGGAGTGAACCACCATAGCCAGCCTGTTTTATTTTATTTTTTTAAAGAGACAGGAATCTCACTATGTTGCCCAGGCTGGTCTCTTGGGTTCAAGCAATCTTCCTGCCTCAGCCTCAGGATTACAGGTTTGAGCCAGCATACCTGGCCTCCTTTTTTGTTCGTTTTTTGAGACTTGAGAAAGAATCTCACTCTGTCACCTAGGCTAGAGGGCAATGGTGCCTTCATAGGTCACCACCACACCTGGCTAATTTTTTTTTTTTTTTTTGAGACATAGTCTGGCTCTGCCACAGAGGCTGGAGTGCAGTGGCGTAATCTTGACTCACTGCAACCTCCATCTCCCAGGTTCAAGTGATTTCTTCTTCCTCAGCCTCCCGAGTAGTTGGGACTACAGGTGTGTACCACCACACCCGACTAATTGAATTTTTTTTTTTTTTTTTTTAATAAAGACAGGGTTTCACCATGTTGGTCAGACTGGTCTTGAACTCCCGACCTCAGGTGATCCACCTGCCTTGGCCTCCAAAGTGCTTGGATTACAGGCGTGAGCCACTATGCCCGGCAATTGAATTTTTAAAAAATTTTTGTAGAGACAGAATTTTACCATGTTGCCCAGGCTGGTCTCAAACTCCTGGCCTCAAGTGATCCTCTTGCCTCAGCCTCCCAAAGTACTGGGATTTCAGGCATGAGTCCCTGTGCCTGGCTGTTGAGCATCTCTTAAATGGCAGGCAGAGTTGAGGTGCACGCAGGTCAGAGGAGGCCCTGTTTTGGGATTTCTCTTGTTAGGGGATGGGAGGAGACCTTCATAGACAAGTAAACAAATCGAATCATCTCGGGAAGTGATGTTTTCTAGGGAATAATGAACTCTGAATGTGATACACTTTGGCCCAGGGTGGCCAGCCTTAGAGACAGAGGGTGGTTGGAGCGGCCCCTGGGAGCAGGGAACTTGCAGTTTCTCAGGCAGGAACTAGGACAGTTTCGTGTGTCTTATTCTCTTAACGACACCAGCAGTCACCCCTTCTGAGGCCCAAGCCTGGCTCAAGCTCATTGTCACACTGGCAGTTGCTCGCGTTGGCAGGGGCGAGGGTGGGGGGTTGTTAATGATTCTCACAGTGGCCCAAAGGTTCAAAGTGCCCCTTGCTGGAGAATGTTGTCAGAGGAAACCCTGGAGGTATTTATTAATCTGACTCAGTAAGCATCAACCGATTCCCGAAAACAAATGGGGCGTTTTGCCAAGTGCCGCTCTGGCCCCGTGGTGTCCCTGGGCGACCAATTACGTGGCTGTCCCTGCAGGCCAGGGGTGGTTTCAGTTGTAAAATGGGCCCTACTTTCCTCTGTCTTCTGGTTCTCAGGTTTCCCACGGCAGCCCCCAAAGGAAGGTAGAACCGTTGGAATAGGGGCAGGGGATGTTTGGAGATGTCCCCAGAAATGCAGGAATGGAAATGGGGGTGCTAAGCCCTTACTTAAGGGGTGTTGGAGGGTATTGTGGCTGGGCAGGCACTTGAAAAACCAGACTTTGTGATACTTCAAAGTCTTATTCGAGCCAGAAGTCCATGAGCTTCCTGGAGTTTGCTTAGGACGATACCAAATCCTTCAAATGTATTTTCAATTTTTTTCTCTTTTTTTTTGAGATGGAGTCTTATTCTGTCGCCCAGGCTGGAGTGCAGCGGCATGATCTCGGCTCATTGGTAACCTCCACCTCCTGGGTTCAAGCACATCTCGTGCCTCAGCCTCCCGAGTGGCTGAGATTATAGGCATGTGCCACCATGCCTGGCTAAATTGTGTACTTTTAGTAAGATGGGGTTTCACTATGTTGACCAGGCTGGTCTTGAACTCCTGACCTCAGGTGATCCACCCGCATCGGCCTTCCACAGTGCTGAAATTACAGGCGTGAGCCGCTGTGTCTGGTCATACATTTTCATTTAGGCCAAGCAGAGACAATATTCTGTCTTCTCCCAGCTTTCTTCCCTCCCTTGAGAAAAACTAGGGTAGAAACGTGACAAAGTTTCTCTGAAACTGAGGCAATCTTTATGAAATCTAAAGCAGGTTGCCTAGTTTTAACTGGTGTTAGCTAACTAGTTCTT